AAGATGCATTATGTAAAGGTACAATTCCCAATGAGAAATGTAATTGTGTTGTATACGTACAATGTACCAATAAAAGAATTTAATACAAAAAAAAAAACAACAAGATGTGTCATGTGCATGCACTAACTCCCCATAATGAATGCAATCAGGGATCGTAAACATGAGCTAATAGAAAATGTATCACATGAGCCAGGCATAGGGGCGCATCTCTATAATTCCAGCACTCTGGAAAGCTGAGGCAGGATTGAGTTGAAGCCAGGCTGGACAATTTAATAAGTTCGCAAGAGTCTATCTTAAAATAAAAAATAAAATGGGCTAGAAATGTAGCTCAGTACAAAGATCCTGGGTTCAAGCCCAGTGACACATACACAAAAATATATATAATAAAAAAGGAAAGAAAGAAAAGAAAAAAGCCATCACAGAAGTGATAAGGTAAATAAATATCCTTTCTTTGAAAGGGTTCAGGATACAGACATAATCAAGCATAGGATAGAAAGAATCCCCCAATCTCATCTGCCTTTGATATGTTTCTTCTTCTACCCTTTTCCTACTTATGTTGCCATATACAACGAGATTTAAGTAGGAACATAAATGGCTTATTGTTCACCATTGTTCTGTAACCTGCTTTCCGCCTCATTAACACACCTTTTTTTTTTTTTTTTTTTTTTTTTTTTTGGTACCAGGGAACGAACTCGGGACCTTGCGCGCGCTTGCGAGGCAGGTGGTGGCACCACTGAGCTAAATCCCCGGCCCCTCATTAACATATCTTGAAGCTCTTTCCGGTGTACAGGTGTCTGAAACATCCTTTCTGCTAAGTGCATTGTGTTCATTCCACTGCTTGTATGTACCAGCATTTATTTATTTTCAAAATGCAGGCAAACATCAAGCAGCTGCTCCACCAGGGAACTCTGGGTGTCCGGGTGGGCGGCGCGGGAATCCTGGGACTGTAAGGCAGGGAATCGTCTAACTCCCTGGACGCACTGGGGTGTGGTAAGGTTGCTTCTCGGAGTTTCAGATTTCTCTGTTTTCTTTTTTTTTTTTTTTTTTTGAGCCAGGCTCTCGCTATGCAATTCAGACCGGCATTAGCCCAAGCTAACCTCAAACTCATGATGATCCTCCCGCCTCAGCCTCCCGACTGCTGGGATTATAGGCATGTGGCACCACATCTGGCTAAAATTGCATGGCTTTTTAGTAACTCATATAACCCTAATACACTCTTGTCTTTCCCTCTTTACTTTTTTGGATTTTTTTCTCTTCTTAGCTAGCTAGCCACTCCTTCTCACCCCAAAATTAAAAACCAGCAAAAGATCAGTTCTTCTGGACCTGCTGTCCATCTGTCACAGAAGCTGCAAAGGAGGCAGCAATTTAACAGCCCGCGGATTGGTGGAGGCGGGCGCGGAGGGCGTGTCGCTCAGGCCACGCCCACCAGCTGCGGCGCGACCGCTGCCTCCGGCGGACGGTGGTGGGGACTCACCGCCCTTATGACGCGCTCTACTCGGTCCACTCTGAAAGAGGCAAAAGCACCGTTCTCCGCTTGGTACTTGTCAAGGGCTTTGTCGGCTTGTTTTCTGTAGGGCTCGCTGTCCTCGAAGAAATCGAAGAGGATGGGACTGTCTTTGGTGTTGCTCAGGGCTGAGGAGACTAGAGAGAGGAAGCCAGAGTCTTGGTTACCAGGGCAGGAGCGGTAACGCCAGCGTGGGAACTCAGTGCGGCTCACCTCGGCATGGCAGCAGAGTAACAGTGACTGCCCGTTAGGGTGGGAGAAACGGCGTAACTTGTTTACGAATTCCCCTTTCCTTCGGATACTACTGATGTCTCCACCCCCAAAGCATAAAGTGCTGACGTTTTCTTTATTTATTTTAGCTTTTTTTTTTTTTTTGGAAATAGGATCTCCTTGTTACTTTTTGGCTGGCCTGGAACTTGAGACCCTCCTCCCTCAGCCTCCTCAGTGCTGGGGTTATAGGAACGCACCACCACATCCGGCTCTGGAGCTACTATTTCAACGAACTCTTCCTTTTTTGACGAAGAAGGGAGAGAGAACCCTGAACATGAAGTTTTGCCCAGAGAGAAAAAAATACATCTCAATCTTTCTTTAAAGTAATTTCCCGCAGAAATTGCTTGGCATTTCACTATATTGAATCATACTGAGATTTGCCATTTTAAAAGTGTTTCTGTGATAATGCTTGTTGGAAAAAGTAAATAAGAAGAGTGTGGACTTTAGAGTCCACACTGTTGGGAAAAGCTCATGTCTTCATCGCACGTGGCTGTGTTCCCAAGGCCACGTCCTTGAACCTCTTCCAGCTTCAATTATTTTATCTCTAAAATAGAAAGTATCAGGATCTTTCCTCCACAGCTGTGTGAAGTTAGGTAATATAAATAATTTATTCATAGACTGTGGAGTAATACATAACTTGGAAATGTGGAAGCCATACTTACTAAATGCTAAGCAATTTGCACAGTATGCTGCATGGACCATTTTATTTAACTAACGAAAACCCTAAGAGCTATTATTATTATTAACTATTTTACAAATGGGAAAGGCTGAAGGGAGTTAAGTAACTTGCTCCCGAGACCACAGAACTAGTAAGTGATAAGGTTGAGATTCAAACTCAAGCAAGTTGGCACCCAGAGCCTGGATCTACAGTGGTTCTGTATTACCTGTAAATCTCTTTCTACATCGAATCTCTCTAAAGGGAGTTGTACCAGTAACAGGGGAAGCCTACCTTTGTATCCTCAGAAGAGTGAGTATGGTATACACCAAGGACTGGGACCCTTTCTGACATACATCGTGGTATAAGGTGATGATTACCACCATATGATCGAGTCCTATATTAATCTGGAATTAATTAGCAATTTAACAGAATACCATACCAGAACTCGTGGTGCAGTTAAAGCCATTTACTGTGAGATCCTGAGATTCATTTGAATATCTCGTAGCTATTACTTTACATTGTCCAATCACCTGTAAAAGAGAGGGTTTGACTTATGGCACATTGCCTTCCTTTATTGATGAGGTTGCATAGAAGGATACATTTTAAATGCTGTCCATTTAAAATGTATTTAAGGTTTCCTTCATCAAACCCTGTCTTAAAACCTGGACTTTCTTAGTCTGCTTCTACTCCTGGCACCAAAAATGCCTCATGAGAGTGAGAGAAAAATTGGATAAACAGACTGTGATTGTGACCATATCCTAAACATTTTCAAAGGAAAAAGCACTGGGCCAGGGATTTAGCTCAGTGGTTATACCTCCTGTCTCGAAAGCGCAAAGACCTTAGTTTGATCCCAGTACCAAAAAAAAAAAAAAAAAGAAACAGCAAAGGAAAAAGCACTAAGACTCCTAGGAGTGTAAATCTCTCATTTTTGGGTGGAATAAAATGTTGTGCCTGCGCATATTAATCTTTGTGTCCTCCATCTGTGGCCGAGAGCTGGTATCCAGTTCCCACATCCAACTTGTACAGCGAGATCCTGCTCCTCACTACAATGAATACTTTTGGCCATTCCTGCTAATAGGATCGGCCTTCATGGGATTCATAGACCCATAGTGGTGAGGGCTGGAAATGACCTTATAATTCATCTTCTCCAAGCCCCTCCTCTTATTGAGGAAACTGAAGTCTAGGGATGGTGAGTGATTGGCCTAAGGACCCCCAACTGGTCATGCTGTCTCAAGGGACGACAATGCTGATGTATCTTGAACTGGGTTCCTAGGAATGGTTCTCAAGAGAGTTTTAGTCGAAGTCAACATAATCTTCATGAATCTCAAGGTATAAGCTGCTCTTATTCTTTCTCTGGGGTAGCTCAAGCCCGTGGCTCCCAGAGTCAGCAGAGTAAGGGGAAGGTACAAATGCTAAGAGGAGGAAAGTGGTACCTGGCTTACTTACCATCTCAGATGGTCGTCTGGAAGCAGGTAGCTCACAGTCATCCCCGTGTGTCCTGGATAGGACCCAACAGTCAGATTCTTGCATATCTAAGACTAAATAATACACAGTTGCAGGTCCCTGAGGAATGTTAAGAAAGCAACAGGTGAGCAGGATGTGGAGCTTGTAGATTTCCTACTTTTTAAAAATAATAAAAGCAATCTATTTCTTATACAGAATTCTTGTTGTTGTCCAAATCTTTACAGACTTCCTACTTTTGTGTCATTTGATCTATTTATTTGAATAAATAGCTTGAAATAGTTATTTCCAATTGTTCTTTTGAACTGGTCATGATGTTTCTTCTGCCCACAAGCTTTAAAAAGCTCACTAAATGGCAGTGTTGGTCGGGTGGTGGTGTTGGAGGTACAAGCCTAGAATTGTAAGTGGAGAGAGCCCCATCGCCATCTCGAATTTGTATTTGTAGTTGTGTCCTCTCTCCCAGCTCTACTTTTGAATTTAAATTTCCTACCTTGATTTCAACTTGCCCAAAGCCAAATATACTCTTCTCTTACAAACCAGCTGCCTCTTTCAACTTCCCTGTCAGTGGCCATTAATTAATCGGGTGTCTTTGGTTCTGGCTTTAAACATGTAAATCAACTTGGATTTCTTCCTTGTCTTTGCTCTGGCTACCCAGGAACCAGGCTTCAGTCTTTCTTTTACAATGTTCTCAGGTTGATTCTTGGTTCCTCGTTCTCATTGCTTTAATTTCCATTACACAACCCTGGCCCCCATTTCCTCATTCCTGGATACAACAAACAGCTTTCTAGTTATGTCCCGGTCACCTGCCTCCATCTCCCTAGGCACACTGTGTCCCCTCTCTCCACCCTCCTAGTCTTCATGCTGCCATATAGAGATAGCACTATGACCATTCATCCTGTGTCCTACATATGTGACCAAGAACCTAGAATGAGACTGATGATCGTAAAATTGCCTGTCTAACCCTAAACTCCTCTATTCCTGGTCTCTGCGTTCTGTAGCACCTTCTTCTCTAATACTTTAGAAAGGCTGCATTCCTCTGCTTGTTCTCTGTAGTAGACCATGGTCTGACCTCCCTGATTTTAATTGTTCCACTAAAGAGAAGGTAGACTATTATTTTTAGAGTGGAGATTTTACTATTTCTCAATGGCCTGTATCAGCCCATCACTCCAAGTAGCTATATAATCTAAGTGAAGATGGTACACTTGCTTGACTTCCTAATATCTCTTCCAACTTCACATCGATCTCTGGTCTCTCCAGAGCCCACATTATACTTCTAGACCCCCCTCCACTTGTTCAGTTACCTTGTAGTACCCCCCTTTCCAAGCCCCTACTCACCTAGAGGTAATGCCTAGGATTTTCCTGGAAAACCCTTCTGCACATCCTCTTTCTATTCAAATCTGCCCATCCTTTACAACCCAACTGAAGCCTTCTCCCTTTCAGTCTTAATAGGCCTTCTTTCATTAAATTGTTCCAACATCTATCCCACACATTTGATCACTGAATATGTTCTCTCTTACATTCTTTGCCTCTGCACATCAACAGATCATTACATCCACAAGGGCAAGGCCTACAGTTAATTCTAGTGTTCGCCCCCATCCCTACTCCATCTTACTATTTTGCCCAGGCTGGTCTTGAACTCCTGGGCTCAAGTGATACTTTCAAGTGCTAGGCCTATAGACCTGTGCCAACAAACCGAGTTTCTAATTTTTCTAAGTGCTTAGCATACAACTAGGCTCAGGACAAATTCGAATTTATAGATTTATTCATAGTTAAGGGCACACCCATAATAAACACTAGCCCATCTTAGAGCAGCCAAAGAAACTATACAGAAAGCCTTGATCAAAGCCATTGGCTGTGCCAAACAACAGGCTTAGGGGCTAGAGTTACATTCACCCAGGACATGGTCTCCTAACTCAGCTCTGCCAATGGCGATTTCTCACCACTCTGTCCAAGTGGGCATCAGCAACCCGCAGCAACTGGAAAAGATAGCCATTCCGTCTGCCTTTATTGATCAGGTCTAGAGCTCTCTCAGCCTCAGGCTCAGCAGCGTTGCAGTTGGTGGGACTCAGGGCCCAGGAACACTGCAGTGTGATCAAAAACAGTGCTGCAGCGAGCACCCTTGCCCAGCTGAACCATCCTGCAAAGTGTTCTCCCATAGCAGGGAATTTCACACAGATTTTTTGGAGCCCACACTCACACACACAGCTGATGGAACAAATTCTTTATACATTTTTGTTGTGTAACTGGGGATGTTCACCTTGACCCCTGGTTCAAATATCCATCGACAACAGGCTGTAAATGATTAGTGGATCCTGAAGCTAGAAAGGTGGAACACACTAGTGAGTGGGCGAAACTGGCTATTTCTAGCAAGAAGCAGATTCAAAGGGTGTCTTTGACCCTGAACACTGGCGGGGATGGGTGGGTTGGGTTTGGAGTAATTTTCTTTCATCTGCCCATTTGACTCTGCTGGAAATCTCCACCAGCAGCCTTCTCTGTGGCTGATGGTGGGAAAACTCAGTAGAATGCAATTGCATTATCTGAAGGAGGTAATGTGCTCAACCATTAACATCCTAACGAGAACTGATTAGCCAGCTACTCCAGAGGCCGAGGAAGGAAGATCACAAGTTTGAAACTAGCCTGGGCAACGTAGCAAGACAGTGTCTCAAAATTTAAAATAAAAAGGGATGAGGAAATAGCTCAGTGGTGGAACAACCTTGGGTTTGATCCCCAGTCCCAGAATAAAGAAAAAAAAAAGAAGCTGACTTCAGGCGAACTGATTCTTAGTTTCTTCATTTCTAAATGGGAACTGGTACCTCTTGGCAGGCTTATGTGATATTAAATAAGGCAACATCCATAGAGCAACCCTGATACAATTCTTTACACAGAGCAGGCTCTGAATGAATGGTACTATTTATTGTTGTTGGTTTTGGGAGGAATTGTGGGGCACTCCTATGTCATCCTGGTTCCCTGCGGCACTAAAACCATGCCAGAAACAGTTGACTCATGTGTAAGAGGACCATGGTAAGGGCAGGAGTCAAGCAACTGGATCTCCATCCCACTGGAACTGGGGCTCAGCATGGAGTACAGGGCTGGGATACAGACAACCCCCTTCCAAATAAACCAATATGTGGGTGTGGAACCTTTGTACCAGCAGAAGCCAGCAGGTTTGGAAAGGACTAGAGGGAATCAGCCCAGGTCCACCCCAAAAAAGAAACAAACAGCTCTTTGGCAGCAACATCTCCCTTCTTCACATTTTCTCTATGGTGAGGCTTTGTAGCAGTGGTTCCTGGGCTTGGCTTCAGGTTAGAATGACCCAAGGAGTATCCAGGACTTTTCAGAACAACTCAATCAGAATCTCTACGGTGGAGCCAGGTATTGGTAGTTTAAAATTCCTAGGTAGTTCCAATGTGTGATCGAGAATGAGAACCACTGGAACTCCAGAGAGAACTGAAAGGGGGGAAGATTTAAGGAGAGAAAGAAGAGATAATTCTATGAAAGGGAGAGCCCACTTCCAAGGGTCACTGGTTGTTTAGTGACTGCTCAAAGTGGAACACGTTTAAAATAATGTTTGACACTAAACTTTCAGTATCAGCAACACCAGATTTCAAATATCCAAATGGAACCACTCCAGTGTGACTCAGAAAAACAGAAATAGTAAGGAACCTGCTCAAAGTATTGTTAAGAAGCTTCAACCCAGTGGGCAGGGGAACACGATTGATTAAAACAGGAACTGTTTTATATTTCAATGAGTTAAGCTCCTTAGTTCAACGTTTCTGTTACTGGTATTGCTATATCTCACCCAATTTGCAGTACCTGGGTGAACCAAGTACTGGAGTAGGTCAAGGGCAATGCCAGAGGTGGCACCAAGGAGGAAAATGTGCTTTGCCCACCATACTGTTGTTACGCTGAGACTTGGGAATATCTTTGGGATCTGTGCATTCTCTTCTTCTTGCTGTACTGAGTCTTAAAGAAAGACTCAGGGCTAAGAGTGCCATTTCATAAATGGGAAGAGCTTCAGGTGAGAAGGTCCAGGTAGTTAGAGATGAGAGGATGGTGGGTGGGGAGGAGGTAGGAAAGACAGTGAATAGGAGCCCTTCTATCTAATGCTAAGCTGTGATGTTTGGCTTTTGGGAAGATTCTTGGACAGCCTGGAACCAGAGAATGTCCTCAGATGTGACATAGGGAGTGGTAGCTTTTCACAAAATAGTTTATGGGGCAGACTGGAGGAGACAGATCTTCACTTCCCTGGTCTCATTCAGGGACTCAGGTACTTTCTGGTGTCTTGTCCATGTTATCAGAAAAAGTCAATTTTTATTCTTCAAATTTCTTTTACTCATAATAGAGTACATTCTCTTTGCAAAAAATGTGGAGAAATATAAATAAAATCCACCTCTAATTATACCACCTTGAGAAAAATTAACTATATATAATTTCTTCATAATTAAATGTATATATATATATCATATGTTTTGCATCATTGGAATTATTCTGTAGATACAAGTGTTTTATTTTCTTCTCTGTTATTTATTTACTTATAACTTTTTTTTTGGAACCAGGAATTGAACTTGGGACCTTGCACTTGTGAGGCAGGCAGTGGAACCACCGAGCTAAATTCCTGGCCCCCATGACTTCTATTAATAAAAACCATGTAAGCTTTAAAAACGTTTTTGGGTTTTTTTATAGGATGTTAAATTTTGAGTTATTTTAGTCACAGAACTTTTAGTCATTTACATAAACCCTGCACAAAATAGAACAAAGAGAATGTTACAGACTATTATAAAAATTTAGTCTTTCTCTGCTCACCCCCAACCCTTCTCCAGAGAAAGAGTTTTTAACATATATAACATATTTAACATATAACCCTGTTATATATGACATAAGCATCTTATTTTTCCTTAAGGCTGTACTGTGAAGACTTTCCCAGATTCTTAAATATTCTTCAAAGGGCTGAGAATGTCCTTCAGTGGTACAGCACTTGTTTAGCATGGATGAAGTCCTAAATTCTATCCCCAGCACTGCTGAGAAGAAAAATATTCTTCAGAAAGATTATTTTCAATAATTATGTGATATCACATGTTATATATGTGTTAATGCATTTAAAATTCCCCCTATTTTGGGGCATGTATGCTGTTTCCAGTTATTTGTTCTTATAAGTAATACTACAGAAGATATCCTTATAAATCACTGATTTTTTTGGAGGCAACCACTGGATCAGTTGGTAGAATTATACAGTGTTCTGGGGGTTTTTATTTTTGTTGTTGTTGTTGTTGTTGTTGGTAGTACGAATCACTTTGGGTTTTAGTTTGTTTGCTTTTACAAAGAAGAATCAGATTAGTTTGTTTTGTTTTGTTTTTTTGTACCGGGAGTTGAACTCAGGGCCACGTGCTTGCCATGAGCTGCAGCACTGAGCTACATCCCCAGCAGAAGAGTCAGTTTTTATCAGGCATTTAGTATATCTATTTTGATTTTTTTAAATAAAGCAGACATTATTTTTTAGAGCAGATCAGGTTCACACCAAAATTGAACGGAGAGGACACAGAGTTCCTCTGTTCTCCCTACTTCCTGCCCACACTTACAGCCTCCCCCACTGCAAACATCTGAACCCAGAGAGGCATATTTGCCACAGTCTAATTTACAATGACATGTCATCCCCGAAAGCCCACAGTTTCAGTAGGGTCCACTCTTCAATCATTAGAGCACATCCTGTGGATTTTGGCAGATGTGTAATGACTTGCATGCCTCTACCGTCACAGTGTCACATGAAGTAGTTTAAAATCATCTGTGTTCCTCCCTATTTATCCCACCCTCCCCTCTAACCTCTGGCAACCACTGATGTTTTCATTACCTTTATAGTTTTGTTGACATTTGGCCTAGGGTTCTTTTGTTCAATTCAGATGCTTGAGAAAGTGTGACAAGTGAGCAAGGGTCAGCATTGCCTGCTGCTTTAAAGAGGCTAAGCAAAGTGGGCACAGATGCTTCCTTTGAGCTTAGAACAGGGAGCTCCTTAGGTAACACCCAGTCATGGGACTGTGGGAAAGAGACTCACTTCACAGCAAGCTGATAGAGGAAGAGGGGGTATGGAAGAGGCAACCGTGGCCACAACTGCTTTATCAAGAACTTAGACAGGGGAAGAGAAAGGAGCTGCTAGTTAGAGGGAGCCACAAAGACTAAAGTCCCTCCCCACACTTCTTTTGGGGCAGGAGGGTGTTACAGAACACCTTTGGGGAAAGCCCTAGTGATGGTCTCTGTTTGGACCCAGGTTGACTGATTTTTATGCCTGGTCCTGTGTCGCCAGCTGACTTCTGGGATCAATGAACCCAGGGTCCCTTGCTGGCTGGTTTTCAAAGGGCCAACAGGAGGAGAAGACTGGAAGGGGGTCAGGGGACCAGGGGTGTCTTCGTTACTTTTCTCATTGCTGAAACAAAATATCCAACACCCAAAGTAAAAGGAGGACAGGTTTATTTCGGCTCACAGTTTGTAGAGATTTCTGTCCAGAGTCAGCTGGCTGCAAGGCAAGGTAGCACAGCAGAGGGGCATCTTAGAGGAAAAACAGTTCATGGCAGGCAGAAGGCAGCAAAAGCAGCAATCAGCGAGCTTAGACAGCAGCAGCCCTCTTTCTGTTCCTTACTTCTTATCCAGGCTACCCAACATTAGGATAGGTAGCATTCACACCCAGAGTGGGGCAGCCTTAATCCTAGCATTGCACCATGAATCAATCCCAGCATCACATTCTTGATCCCAATCTCACACACCCTAGATCTGGAGCCCTCTGAAAAGCTCCACCTATGACCACATGAGGCTTTGGGGAACATCTAGATTCAAGCCATAACAGGGGGAGAAGGCAGGTGTTTGTCCAGAGCTCCTTCCCACACCTGCATCCTGCCACCCAGGTGGCTCCTGCTCTGTCCCCCAGCTCCAGCTTCCACTGGACATAGGAAGCCAATGCTTCTCCCCCAGCCTGCCATGGAAAAAGCTCCAGCTGCTGCCATTCTCCAGGTGCCTCAGCATCCCTTCTTTCCCTTCATCAGGCCTAAACGTTTCACTGAAGGGCTCTCACTGATGACTTTCTAATTGGTTTATCTGACTGCCATTCTGCTTCCCACCAGTCCCTGACTGAAACTGGGTGCAAGAACTGACACAGTCATTTATGGGTGGCAGGTAAGAGTAAGGGAGTGTCGACATTGTCTCCTTCTCCTATGTAAATTATGGCAAGGCCCATGTGCTTCCCCTAAGAAATAGCCAGGGTAGGGCACAATCCTTACATCTGCAAATTCTGTCGAAACATCAAAAGTCCGTGTGTGTGTGTGTGTGTGTGTGTATGTGTGTGCATGTGTGTGTGTACACACACATGCATGCTTGCATATATACTTCTACTTGAGGGGAAATTTATCTCATGGTTATTTAAAAAAAATTTTTTTTCAATGAAGGCCCTGGGAATTGAACCTAGGGCCTTCACACTGAGCTACATCTCAGCCCCTTTTCTATTTTTAAAGTTTGATACAAGGTCTCCTTAGGTCCCTATGTTGCCCAGTTCCAACTTTGGATCCTCCTGTCTCAGCCTCCTGGAGGACTGGGTTTGCAAGCATGTGCCACCACGCCTGACACCCCACAGCTTTTAAAACAGAGGCAGGGAAGAGTGTGATCAAATGTCATGATGGATCCCCCAGTGTCTGTCCCAAGGGAGTCTGCAGCACCAAGAACCCCTGTGGGCCACTGGCACACTCTTCTTCCCTGTGCCCCATCTCAGAGAGTCACCTCACTGACAAGGCCCAGAGACTGACAGGCAGATGAAGAAAGCAGGGGTGGGTGGGGCTCAGAGGGCGACTCTACTGAGCCTCAGTTTCTTACAGCTCCCGAAAGAGGGGAAGTGTCTTTAATTCAGAGATCTGAGCAAATGTATATTCTGAAAGGATAAAGGTCTTTAAAAGTGAGAAGTGGAAGACAGAGAGGCTCTGTCCATGTCTTGGAAAGGGGCGGTATGGGGGATGCAGCCTCATGTTCATGTGGAGCCCGAGAACAGTCAAATAGACACACTTTATTAGCCACTCTAGGTCTCGCTGTCCTGTCCGCACCACACCTCATCTTCTACAGGACACCACCCATGGAATGTTGTCTGTGATTCTCAAGGAGGGAGGACAAGATGGCTGGTCACCCGGGCAGGCCCTGGGCACTCCGCAGAGTGCTGTTCTTTGGGGAAAGGCAGGACAACCAGCTTCTCTTGCTGGAAGCCCAGGCTATGCAGGGTGTTTCCCTGGGCATTGGTGGTTAGATTCAGCTGCACTGGAAAGGCCTCCTGATGGTCCTTTTCCTGGGAACCGTTGGGTTTCTCATCATCCAGCTCAGGGAGGTGTTGGACAGATCCCACTGGCACAGTTTCCTGGGGGGAGCTGGAAGAGGTTGTGTTTTCCTGCAGGGGCTGTTCCACCCTGGGGAGGCTTCCAGAACCTTGGTTAACAGTAGAGTTCTCACCCCCAGGGGCCTGGATCTGAAACAAGAGTGATTTCAAATGCGGTCAGTGAGCCCAGCAGTGGGCGAAGCAGGCACCTGTTATTGTTTATCCTGCGCCACATCCTTCTGTCCCATACCCTTCATCCAGGTCCTCTCATTCCTTTCTCGTTAGGGATCTAAAGAGGGGTGTGGCAACCTGCCTCCGATTGAGCAGGTAAGTGCCAAAGCCCACACAGCTCACAGGGGCAGAGCAGGAATGGAGCCCAGGTCGGGGTTCCAGGCTGTCTTATAGTAACTGCTCAATAAATATTTCTGGAGAGGGATTGAATATTTTCATGGAAATGGCTTCTCTCTGAGGTTCGGGGTAAGGTTTCTTTGGAACACCTAATGTAATACCTCAGAGGTTGGAGCCATCAAAGCTGGTAGGTCCCTAATTCTGAGCGGGTCTTTGTTATTTGGTGGGACCACACTGTGACAAAAAGAAGGTATGACAGGTCTCTGACCAGCTACCATGTGAGTGTGGCCTTAGGGTAGTTCCCGTGAAGTGGTGGGCATGGATCTGGAGAAAACCAAACGGATGGGGTAGCTAAAGGGAGATAATCTTCTCTTTCCTTCAGAAGAAGGCAATTAGGTTGAAAAATACCTGTGATTTGAAGAAGTCACAAGTCACAGAGACAAACTTTTCTGTGTGAGCTTGAGTCAGAGAACCTTGGCAAAGACCAACAGGCTAAAAGAAAGAAAACGCAAAGTCGCATGAGTAAAAAGACGATCGATGATCATACGTAGAGATCAGCTTGCTTCCTGCTTGTGTGGACACATAGCCAATCAACGTTTTGATCATCCTACCATGTGATAGGCGGGCTCTGGGCCACTTTTCTCTGAATCACACAAAGAAATCACACAAAGTAGGGTAAATTGCCTCCCCTCCAATGATGGAAAACAGTATTTCTTGAAGAACAAAATTCTGATTATTGGAAAGTTCTTTGTATCAAGCAGAAAGCTATATTTATAAAATGTTTACCCTTTGGCTTAGTTCTACTCTTGGGTCAATTAAAAATTTGTTTTTGTTTTTTAGGTACTGTAGCAGCCCCTAATGTATGTTCCACCTGAGATTTTTACTTCCCAGAAAAAACCACCCTCAGTTCCATCAACTTCTCTTTACTTTAAAATAACTTTTTCTTATCACAAATGTAAACAGTAGCCATTTAGAAAAATAAAGATAGATAAACAAAAAGAAAATATGACTTGGAATTGTGTGAAAAGTCCATTACCTGTATGATTTAATTTCTTCCATTTTTTCCTATATGTATATTTTTTTCTTTTACAAAATAGGATTATATTACACATATTACTAATACCTATTTTGTCACTGAATAGTATATTGCAAAAATCCTTTTATGGTAATGGACAGTATTCTATAATTACTTTTATAATGGCTACCTAGAATCCCTCTGTATTATTTAACAAGCTCTCTTTTGTCAGATAATTAGATTGAATCAATTTTCTTTGCTTAAACACTAAAGCCATACCTTTTCACATATCTCTAGTTATATCCTTGGAGTAAATTTAGAGTAAAGTAAATTCCTACAAGAGGAAATTTAGAGGCATTGAGTATGCACATTTTCAAGTGTAAAGATATTATAATAAAATGTTACCTCAATTTCTAAAGAAGAGGGCTTAAGTATCCACATAAAATTTACTAAAATATGTCTAAGCAGATTTCCAGAACATTACTCTATCATCCTTCTCCAAGGGAAGACTAGAAATTTTGAACGTGGCAAAATCCATTGAAGTATGAAATCCTCGAAGCCTTTCCCTCCTCCTCTTAGTCAGTAAGTCACTAAGAGAACCTTCCAGAGAGACTTCTGGTACCTGGACTAAGGACAGCATGGCCACCCCCATCCTGGCTAGAATTTCCTGTGCTACCAAAATTCATTGGCCTACCTGGTGTCGGCATTAGGGTGGAGCATGAGAGAATCTGTGAGAGTCTTAACAGGTGAACCCATAGAGCCATATGTGGCATCCATATTGGAAAGAAAGAAGTAAAAACTATCTCTGCAGATAATATGACCTTATATATAAAAAATCATTAGAAAACTATTAGAACTAATAAACGAGTTTGCGACAGTTATAGGACTACAAAGTCAACATAAAAGAATCAGTTGTACGTTCTATTCACTTGCAATGAACAATTTGAAAATAAAATTAAGAAGGCAATTTCAGTATATTAGTATATTAGGTAGAAAATAAAATATTTAAAGAACAAATTTACTAAAAAAAGCAAAAGAGCTGGGCATGGTGGCGCATGCCTGTAATCCCAGCACTCGGGAGACTGGGACAGGAGGATTGCCATGAGTTCGAGGCCAGCCTGGGCCACATAGTGACTTCAAGGACAGCCTGAACTACATAGCAAAACCCTTGTCTCAAAAAACCAAAGTAAAATTAAAATAAAATAAACAAAAAGTTTATATACAGTAGTCTCCCCTAGTCATGATTTCACTTTTCACAATTTCAGTTACCTGTCCTCAAGAGAGGTGCAAAAGTATTAAATGAGAAATTTCAAAAGAAAACAGTTCATATAGTTTACATTGTGTGTCATCCTAAATATAAGATCTTGCACGATTCTCCTCTATCCTTCCTGGCATGCAAACTGTCCCTTTGCCCAGCATATCCATGCTGTAAACCTAACCTACTTGTTGGTTATTGAGTTGCTATCTTTGTTATCAGATCAATTGTCATGTATCGCAGGGCTTATTATGTTCAAGTAAGAAGGTTGTTAGTATCCTAATGCTATGTCACAATGCCTACATCATCCACCTCTCTCCATTTCACCAAATATACATTTTATCATCAGACATCACACAAGAAGACAAAGGGTGAGCACAATATATAGTAAGTTAGTTTGGGAGTGAGGGACCACATTCACATAATATTTATTATAGGATATTATTATAATCATACTATTGTATTAGTAGATATTGTAAATATTACTGTGCTTAATTTGTAAATGAAACTTTGTTATAGGTATCTGTGTATGGGAAAAATGCTTTACATATACAAGTTTTAATATTATCCATGGTTTCAGGGATCTGTGGGGGTCTTGAAATGTATCCCCCACAGATAAAGGGGGACTACTGTACATTGAAAAAGAAAAAAACCCACAAAACTTGCTGAAGTAAATTAAGTAAGTCCTAAACTAATGTAAAGACATCATATATTCACGGATATGAAGACTTAGTGTTGTTAAGATAACAGTACTTCTACATTGGTCTACAGATTCAGTGCAATCAAATGCATCAAATTTCTAATTGCCTTTTAAAAATAGAAATTGACAAGTAGAATCCTAAAATCATCATGGAAATGGAAGAGATCAAAAATATACCAAATAATCTTGAATAAGAGTAAAATAAGAGAATTCACACTTCCAGTCTCAAAACTTAATACAAAGCTACAATAGTCAAGATAGTGTGGCATTGGTATAAAGTTATATATGGAAATCAATGGAATAAAATTGAGAGTAAAGAAATAAAACCTTACATTTATAACCAATTGATCTTCAAAAAGTGTGCCAAGATAATTAAATAGGGGAATCAGTGGTTTTTTTCAATAAATAGTTTTGAGACAACTGGATATCCATATGCAGAAGAATGAGGATGAGTCCTAGCTCACACCATATACAAAGATGAACCCCAAATGAGTCACAGACCTACATGTAAGGGATTATCAATTTGATGCCATTGATTTATAAATCTATCCTTATACCAGTATTACACTGTCATGGATATTGTATTAGTTACTATCCCATCATGGGGATGGAATACCTAAAACTTGTAATTTTAAAAAGGAGAGGTTTATTTATTTTGGCTTGTAGCCTTCAGAGGATCCAGTCCATGGTTGGTTAGCTCCAACATATGGCAGAGAAAAGCTCCTCACCTCATAGCATCCAGGAAACAGAACAAGAAGAGAAGAGCCATGGAGTGAGAAAAAGCCTTCAATTGCACGCTGCTAGTGACACAACCTCTTCCAACCAGACCCCACCTCCAAATAGCACATTTAACTATGAACTCATCAATGGATCAATCCACTGATGAGTATAGTGCCCCTCATGACCCAGTCACATTCCAAAAGCCCCACCATTGAATTATATGAGACTTTCAGGTGACATTTTAGATCTAAAACATAACAGATTTGTAGCCTTGTAGTAAGTTTTGAGATTGGAAACTGTGAGTCCTATTTGCTTCATCTTGTTTGAGATTGTGTTAGGTACTCTGGATCCCTTGCATTTTCATATACAGAAATCCTAGACTTTGAATTAGGCAATGATTTCTTACATGTGACACTAAAAGCACATTCAAAGAAGAAAAATATATAAATAGGATATTATTAAAATGTAATGCTTTGGTACTTCAAGGAATATCATTGAGAAAGTGAATAAATAAGGGAATGAAAGAAAATACTTTAAAATTATATGTCTGATAAGGGTATTTCATTCAGAATATGTAAAGAACTCTTAGAATTCAACAATTTGAAGATAAGCAACCCAGCAGGATGTGGTGGCACAATCTTTAATCCTAGCACTTGGGAGGCTGGGATAGAAGCTCACAAGTTCAAGGCCAGCCTGGGCTACATAATGAGTTCCAAGCCATCCTGTACCACATAGCAAGACCCTGTCTCAAAAAATGATAAGTAACCAAATTTTTAAGTGGGTAAAGGATATGTATAGACATTTCCTAAAGAAGATATATAAATGGCTAATAAAAAGATTATTAAAAATAACATTAAATGATGCTCAACATTACTAGTTATCAAGGAAATGCAAATAAAAGAGACACCAATTCATACTCAGTAGGATGACTATAAACAAAAATAAAAAGAAATGTTGGCAAAGATGTGGAAATCTGAAACCCTCAAACACTGGTAATCGGATTGAGAAACTGGCACTGTCACTTTGGAAAACACCATAGCACTTAGTCAAAGGGTTAAACAAAGGGTTCTCATAAGACCCAGCAGTCCCATTCCAACATATATACCCCAGAGAAATGAAAGCTTATGTTTACACAAAAACTCAGACACTTGTAATGGCAGGAAATAACCAAAATATCTATCAACCAATGAATGGACAAATAATAAACAATGTCCATACAGTGAAATATCATTCGGCCGTATGCAGATGGAGAAACCTTAAAAACATACTAAATGAAAAATCCATACACAAAAAAGTACTGGGGTTGGGGAGAAGGTAGAAGAAGGATAGATGGGCATGACCAAAGCACACAGTATACATGCATGGAAATACCACAGTGAATCACTAATGTGTACAATTAATAAATGTAATAAGAAGACATGAACATAAGAAACGATTGTTATAATCAACATTGAAGTTTAACATTACCACTCACTGGTTAATATGATGGAGCTAATTTAATCATTTCAATTTTTCAAGTAAATGTAAGTGTTTTCTCAAATATACATATAAAAAGCCCACATACTGCATGATTCCATTTGTGTGAAATGTCCAGAATAGACAAAGCCATAGTGACAGAAAGTAGACTAGCAGCTTCCAGGGGATTGCAAGGGGCAGTGATGAGGAATGACTGTCAAGGGGTATGGGCTTTCTTTTGGGAGCTGATGAAAATATTCTAAAATAATAAAAGAGTAGTGATGACACAACTTTGAATATACTGAAAACCACTGAATCATACATTTTAAAAGGCTGAATTTTACCATGCATGATTTTTTTTTTTTTAAGACAGGGTCACACTCTATAGTCCAGGCTGGCCCCGAACTTGCTATGTAGCCTTGGCTGGCCTCAAACTCATGGTGATTCTCTTGCCTCAGCCTCCCAAGTGGAAGGATTCCAGGTATGCGCCACCACACCAAGCTCAACATGGATTATATCTTACTAAGCTGTTACTGTAAGTAAGTAGAGAAGGAAAAATTACTTTTGATGCATTTTTTCCACTTGTGCTCCAATTGTGCCAACTTACACTCCAACCTGGCGTATTTCAGGTACCCTTTCCACTGTGATTGCTTTGTATGACTTTAGGGCTGGGGGTTTAGCTCAGTGGTTCCGGTGCCTGCCTCAAAAGTGCAAGGTCCAGAGTTTGATCCCCGGTACCAAAAATAAATAAATAAATAAACAAAATTGTGACTTTCTATTTGACTTAATTTTTATTGGCCCTAAGAATGGAACACAGTGGTGTATTTCAAATGTAACTGGGCTTGTTCAGATCAAAACAGGATCATTATAATCCAATGAGATCTGTTTATATTTTGTAGCCCACCCACTATAACCACTTTCTGTATTTGAAGCACACTGAGGATGAAAATCACATTTACAGTTGAATAAAACCCCTTATTACTACATCTAGCCCTGCCTAATTTCTAGCTAGTCTTTCTGAGGGCAGAATAAGCATCTCATGTATGAGATGTGATTTTTTAAAAAAGTACAGTGACTACTAAATTTTAAAAAATTGATTACAGTAAAAGAACATATCACCATTAAACCCCCTCAAAATATTCTTCCTCATGTCCAACACACTTATTCCACCATCCTTTCCACTCTCTGAAGCAGTTCTGGAAGTCTTTTTTAATATCTTGCGCTATTGTGGATGTTTTGATGTCCTGAATCAATTCAAAATGTTTACCTTTCATGCTCATTTTGTCTTTGGAGAAGAGCTGGAAGTTGCCTGGTGCCAGATCTCATGCATAAGGTGGACAAGGACACACTATAACGTTTTTACAAGGCTGCCTTTTGGTTGAGTGCACAGCATTCACTGTGTTTTCTATCACACCTCATAAAGACACTCACAAAAGAGGACTTCCAGAGCTGCTTCAGAAAGTGGCAAGAACAATGGCGCAGGTGGCAAGAAAGATGTCAGAAGTGTGATTGAAGCAAAAGGAAGTATTTTGGGGGGTGAGGATTAAGGCCACAGTGTCTTTTTAAAAAAATTTAAATATTCACTGTGTATTTTTATCATACCTCATACAATTTGTGTTTACCAGACACGCACAATCTGTGAACATGTATCTTAAATTAAGACATTCAGGAACACTCACCATAGAGTCAGAGGACTTGAGTGAGCAGCTGCTGGCCTGGGATTTGGTACATGGTGACTCTCTGATTAAATATTCCACAAAGTAAGCAGGGCCAACCACCCACTGTTACAAGACAAGAGTGGAGACATTTAAATGAAACCTGCTACATGGGAAACAGACACAGGTTTAGCAGCATTACTTTACAGAAATGACAATCCCCAGAGGCCCTGCCAACACCCACATCTACTGTCCCTGCAAGACCTCACATGCATGAGCCATGTAATATAATTTTTTTATTTAGAAAACAAAATTTCCACACCTTTCTTGTTTTCTTTTTTTCTGGTAGTGGGGATCAAACTCAGGACTTTGCGCTAGCAAGGCAGGTGTGGTACCACTGAGCTAAATCTCCAGCCCTTTCTTGTTTTCTTAAGGATTTGAAGAGGACTTAAACATTTTCCCTTGCTGACTTTATTTTTGCCACATGTAGATTTGTCTTTTAGGTTATTTTCATATGAAGTAGCAACATAACCCAAATACAAATGAGTTTCCACCTCCCCTAACCCACACAACTCATCCTCTACCCCAGCCATTAACCTGGAGTAAAAGCTGTCTTGCTAAATGGTCCATCATTAGTCAGACATGAGCATGTAGCAGTCAATAGTGAACACACATAGAATCTCCCAATAAGATTATGAATCTATTTCTCTTTTGCCCTAAGGCTGACAAAGTAAAATGGACTCACACAACTCCTGTAAAATTCCGTGGAACAAAAGAAACTGAAATATGATTGCACGTGTATCAGGTCCACAAGAGCAGGGGATTAGAGAACAGCTCTCAGGCTCCCAGTTTAGGAATCCACAGCAGCAGTTGTGAGATGCATTGTTTGTGTCACCAACACTTGCATTTTATCCTTACCTGGGTAGAAGCCCTGGTGACTTTGTCAAGAGAGTACTGCTTCAAGGTGCTTTTACTGTTGTATTTTGCAAGAGATTCAGTAGCGGCTTCCAAAACCCTAAGATCTGACAAGTCAGTGGAGCTGGGACTTGGGCAGTCAGGGCACATATTATGAATCCCTCTTCTAGAAACTGTTGATGCCAATGGGAGCAGTTTAAAAATATTATTGAATTTCAATCCCATAAACAGTCACAAATCATATGACTACAACACAGGCAAAACTTTCAAAAGAAAGATAACACTCAGTGTTGGCAAGGACGGAATGAGAAAAGTATTTTCTGGAAAAGAAGTTAGCTGTTCAGTAAGTTTTCTACAATGAGCTGTATTATTTGCATAAACAAAAAAAAGAAATCAAAGCAAGATAGTTTCCACCTCATACAAATTTATTTACTTTAGGAATTTTATTCAAAGATCTATAATATAGCATATTAACATAAGATATCCTCTTAAACTAGATCAATGTCTTTTCTTATCATTGTCTGTTAAAATAAATTGAGTGCCTTTAAAAAGTTAGGATTTCATTATTACCATGTTTTATTTGTCTTTTAGTCCTGAACACCTAGCATAATACCTAACACAAAGTGAATGTTTTGTGAATGCTTATAGAATAAGCAAATGACATAATGGAAGGTAGATGCACATCCTCTTTGGTTAGAAAATGTAAGTGAGCTGGAAAGCCAAATTGGTCAAGTCATCATGTGACTTGATAGATGATCACATGAATCATACAAGCACAGTTTCTGTTTGAGGGGAGTGGGGTATGGCAAATCCAGTGTGCAAATCAGGGTAGAGAGTTTTTCTTGAAGTTGTTTTTGAAGAGAAAATACACTGTTTTGATTAATTGTATACATGGGGACTGAGGGAGATGACCGAGGAGTTATAGCCATGGCTTGCCATTCCTTCAACACACATCACTTCCTGGCCCTTCTAACTCTGATAACTGTGACTGCCATGAAAGTACTGGGATTACTTCTAGTTGTTGTTCTCTAATTTATGTTAATCAAGTCTTGTGTTCACACCAGGAACTTTAAGCTGTGGCTAATACAGCGCTGGTTCTGTTGCTTTGTTACTCACAGAAGCCAGTAGCATTGCTGTCACCTGGGGCATGTTTGAAACACAGGATCTCTAGTTCTGCCCAGGCTACATTATCAGAACCTGCACTTTAACAAGATCCATAAGGGGAGTCACAATCACAAAGTAGTTTGATAAGTAGCCATATCCTATTTGCCTACACAGTGAATGCTTGCTTTCCATGAATTTCCCGTGTTAAAAAGAGTGGATACATGTGCATATTTCAAATGTCATTAGTTTCAGCTTTATTCTCTGCTTATTTTTCATTTATTCAACAATATTGATAAGCTTAAGCTTGGTAGGAACTAGTGAGTGTGTGGCAGGGAGAAGAAGAGATAAAATATTCTACATGGCAGAAGATATAAGACTCCATATCAAATTAGACATGATCAGAAGATTTGGACAATTCCATTGATAAAACAGAAGCTGGAATTAAGGAGCTTCAGAAGAGTATGGAGCATTGGAAAAATATGAAAAAAGAACACATGGATGCTATAAATCATGATACAAAAGAACTGGAAAAGATGACAAATCGACAAGGCATGCTATTGAAGAAGAAAGAAGAAAGTATGAAGAAAATTTGAGAACTTGGATCACTTCCCTAGGAAGCGTTTGACTCTGAGCCTCAAACCGTTGTTTTGAAAACTTGAACAGTGCAACACGGAATTGAAGTACAGCCATGTTAATAAAAAGCGCTAGATTGGTTTGTAAACTTCTCTGAGCAGAGGGAAAAGTAAGTAAAGCAACAACCAGAGCTTAATAGGGGGTACAAATCACTCATGAAACTAATGAATGTACTTGAACTTTGAAAATATGAAGCTATTCAGTTAACTTTCTAGCAGGTATCCGAGAACTTCAGGTAAGTTCCAGAAGTTGGTACCTGATGGCAAAGCTACTTTGGTGATAGGAGATGCGTAGGGCAGTCAGTCTCAGGATGAAGGAGAAGGAAGTGGTCAAAATGAGAGGGGTTCTGGGTCACACAGCAGTGTCCCTTCAGTTGACCAGTTCACTGGAGCTGGAATTAGGGTGTCATTTACAGGAAAACAAGGTGAGGTGAGAGAAATGCAGCAGCTTTCAGGTGGAAAGAAATCCTTGGTATCCCTTGCTCTGATATTTGCTATTCAGAAATGTGATGCAGCCCCCTTTTCCTTGTTTGATAAGATGAGAGTGACCAAGCTCTGGATGCTCAGCACAGACAGGCAGCATCAGATATGATCTTGGAACTTGCTGTATGTGCTCAGTTTATTCCAACTACTGTTAGCCCTGAACTACTTGTGTCAGCTGACAAATTCTATAGTGTAAAGTTCAGAAAGAAGGCTAGTCATATTGTGTGATCACAGCAGAGATAGCCAAGGACTTTGCAGAAGACGATACTACATATGGTTAATTTAGAAATACTGCCTGCTGTTTTGGAAGATTTGTAGAGTAATATGCCTCTCATCCCCAGGAGCTGTAAATTTAAACCTAAATATTTGGTCATTATTAATAATTTTCAGGCTTCGTAGTACACAGAATCCTTTTCTATTTTTGTCTTTGTATTCTGTGTAATGTTATAGTTCTACTTATAGTTTAAGAATTTATTTTATTTATTTATTTTATTTGTAAAGTGTCCTACTCCTACTTTAAATCTTTTGAAACATTCTAAATAGTCTTTCCTTAATTTTATCAGTTATACTGCCTCTTTTTGTATAGCCTCAATTAAATAATTGCTTTTATGACTTAAAAAAAAAAGGACTCCACATCAAAGCAGTGAGTGTATGCTCTGTGCTCCATGAGGGGTTTAGTCAACGTTTATAAGGCTGCATAACAAGAGAGCATCATTCCTTCCTTTCTTGAATACACACCACTGTAGAAGAAGTAATATGGTAGCATCCCTTGAAGAAGGAGCATGAGTTCCAAGGGTAGAGGCCATCATCAATGGAGGGAGAGGCACAAACAAGATGCAGAGTTCAGAAAGCACAATGTGTGTTCAGACATTGGGCATCCAGTTGGTTGGAATATCAGGATATCTAGAAAGGAGCCTGGGGACCAATTGTAGAGATTGTGCCATTTATGTGGGCCTGAAAATGTAGGATTTGGTACAGGACACACATGTAGAAGTATGAGGGTGACTGAAATGAGTGTAAGTTAAGCCAAGCACCAGAAGTATTAAGCAACTGGTGCCAAGATGAATAAAAAGTAAGGATATGAGAAACCCTACACCCTCTTGGCAAATCCCTGGTCAAATTACTTTTTAAATCTTTTATTAAAATTAGCAAAATCATCACAATCTCTTACCTGGGCGAAGAGTACAGTTATAAGCAGGCAAATAGAGGATTCTTTTTGGCTTGTTAAAGTAAAACATCGCTTTGCATTGACCATAAACCTGTAACAACAAATAGATTTTATGACATGGTGGGTGGAATCATGAGGTTTTAAAATGTCCCTCCCCCATAGTGGAAGCTGCAGATTTTGTTTTAAAGTAATGAGAAATGTAAAATCAAATTCTGTGGTTTGGGGTGGAAAGAACTGCAGTTGATCAAACTGTTTAACCTTTCCTTGGGACACAGGAAGCTACACTTCCCCATCTCCCTCACAGTTATGTGTGGATAACTGAGTTCTAACCACAGGAAGGTGAGTACAGGAAGTGATGTGTAACCACTTCCTCCCTGACACACTTTCTATTCTCCATGTTCTTTCTCTTTCATAGCTTGATGCAAGTAAACAAACAAAATGTCCCCCTGCTGTGCAAGCGCAAGGACCTGAGTTTAGTCCCTGGTACCAAAAAAAACCAAAACCAAACAAACAAAATGTGACCAAAGCAACCATGAGTGGAATGTGGCAAAGTCTGAGTCACAGCATGGGAGGAACCCAGATCTTTACATCACCCCTTGCAATCAGGAATGTCTATTTTTTAATAAATTTTATTTTATTTTACCCCCACCCCCCCGCCTCAGGAATGTCTATTTTGAACTCTGTGTGAATGAGAAATAAGCTGCTATCACGTTCAGGTTGGTATGCTCTTGTCAGTGTATGTGTCATAGTATTTAGCGTCACCATAATGAATGTGTTAAACAACAGGGCAAGTAGACTTTGCTTTTCAAAAATTACGTGTGGTTGACTAACTTGGTTAAATAATTAGAAAAGATAACTCAATCACCAAGTTAACATCTAAATGCTTATATCACTGTCCTGTGCTCATGATATGTAGTACATATCAATGAATGGAAATACTCCCAGGATAATTGAAATAAAAAGAAAAGTGACTATTTCCGAGTGTCTTCAGTGGTCATCTTTGAAAGGATCAATTCTCAGAACATTTAGCCTCTATAATTGTAGGAAACCTTTCCATTGCAGCCCTGACAGCCCAATCAGCCATCGCTTTTTTTAGCCTAAGCCTCATGTTAGTGTTCATTAAAGCAAAACGAAACAAATTTAAAGAGCTCTCCCTCCATTGCTTCTGCTTTCTACCTTAATTCCACACTCAGAATCTTTACTTCGGGTATTTTTCCCACAATTTAAAGACTGGTTCAGAGGCTACAGGTGAGTCTTGGAGACAAAAAATAGTTTGGGGGCAACTTTTCAATCCTGGTCAGCATTACCCCGAAGGGATTTCTCAGAAAACCCTCTAC